CAGCAGTTAGTGTAATGGCTATGTCGCTGGACTCCCATGTAGTCGACCGCGGTTCAAGTCCTGGACCCGGTGGCGTAAACTCATGCCGGGCACGTATGCATGTGTACCCAAGATCCTGAGAGGAGAATGGAGGAGATGGGATTGCGGTGTGGCCATTCCCCCTGGGGGGTGATTTCTCGCTTTCTATCTCTCTGTCTCTGTCTGGCGAGCACACGCGCCCTATAGCAAAAACCTCTCAAAAAAAAAAAAAAATTCTGAATGTCTTCCCATTTCCTCCTGCCTATATGGTTTCTGCTCTGAGGTCTGAGGTTAATCTGATGGGGCATCCTTTATAAGTAACTTGAAGCTTTACTTTTGCCATTTTTAGAATATTGTTTGAATTTTGCCATTTGGTTATGAAGTGCCTTGCAGATCTCTTTATATTGACTCTACCTGGGTGTCCTTTGTATTTCCTGGATCTGGATGTCTGTATGTCTCTCTAGACTTGGAAAGTTTTGAGATAGTATTTCATGAAAGATTTTCAATGCTTTTACTTGTCTATTCGTCTTCTGGGATAACCACCATGCAGTTATTTCATCACTTAGAGGTGCCTCAAATTTCACCTATGTAGGGACTAGCAGATTGCATAATGGTTACGTGTCTGGAGTCCCACATAGTTGAATGCTGTTTGAGTCCTGGACAAGGCAGCTTGAAACTCATGCTACGGATTTCGACCACCAAAGATCCTCTATCCAGACTTCACCCTCCTGCTCCCCAGTCTAGGCAGGAGCCAGGTTAGAGCATCCCACTTATTTTCTGTCTCTTTCCATCCCTCTTTTTTTTTTTTTTTTGAGTTTTTTTTTCGCTGTAGGGCGCGTGTGCTCGTCAGACAGACAGAGACATAGAGACAGAAAGCGAGAAATCACCCCCCAGGGGGGATGGTCACGGCACAATCCCTTCTCCTCCATTCTCCTCTCGGGACCTTGGGCTCACACACACACGCACCCGGCGAGAGTTTTAAGCCACCAGGTCTGGGACGCGAACCGCGGTCGGCTACGTGGGAGTCCAACGACATAGCCATTACGCTAACTGCTGGTTCTCTTGTTTTAATTTTTAAACTTATCACTCTGAAGCTCTTTTGTATTTCTAATCCTTACCTATCCCCCTGCCCCCATAGGATAAGCCAATCAGCAGCCAAACATATTTGAGTTCCCAGTGGCCCCATTTGTGCCACGTGGTTTTCATTTTTTGACAAAATTTTTTTTGTTTTTGTCTTTTTCTTTTTTTTTCCTTTTTATTTTTTGAGAGGTTTTTGCTATAGGGCACATGTTCTCACCAGAAAGAGACAGAAAGCAAGAAATCACTCCCCGGGGGGTGGGGGGGGAGACCACACTACAATCCTTTCTCCTCCATTCTTCTCTTGGGATCTGGGGCACGCATGCACACATGCCCGGCGTGAGTTTAAGCCACCAGGTCTGGGACTCGAACTGTCGTCGACTACATGGGAGTCCAACGACATAACCATTACGCTAACTGCTGGTCTCTCTCTTTTTTTTTTCCTATTCCTTTTCCTTTTATCTTTCTCACTTTTCTGCTCAGCCTCCATACACTAATTTTCTAGAGAGGTCTAGGTGCTAAGTAGTCAAATATCTGAATACTTTCAGGGTCAGATTAATCCTCAATTTTTGTTGATTCAGTTGTGCAGAGAGAAAAACGATACCGTTTACAGATTGCAGGTCATCTCCTTTTGCATTCCTCTGATTGCTCAAATTTAACTCCAAAAATGCCGGGGACCAGCCTCGGCGGGGGTGGGTTGGTTCGACGGAGGCGATGCTGGAAGAAAAGAAAGACAAAGGCCTCACGCTTTTTCATGCACGTCCTAAGCCGGACACTCCTCTAAGATCGCTCTCTGAGGAGTGACAACTGCTAGGAAATATCGTGCCTTTTTATTGAAAATG